CTGCCAAAATCGGCGCTATGCGGCCGTTTTTGCGAAGTTATTCACCAAAAACTGAACCGTAGGCCTTGGGGCACTTGACCTGACCTTTGACCTTCGGTCACCGGTTGACCTAGGACCTTAACCCTCGCCGGACCTATTGGTTTTCTACAAACGCGCCGGCCGAGGGGGGCGGGTACGACCCCCCTCGCCGTTTCGCCCCTGGTGGAGCTAGCGCGTCGCGGAAAAAAACGAGCGTGTACGCCGTTACGAGACGCAGAGATTGGTACCCGATTTTAACCCGGCAGGCGGTGGGCCTCCCGGCCACCTTCCGCGCGGTGGGGGATGGGGGGCTTTTTTTTTGCCCCCCCCCCCCTCCCGTATCTCCGAAACTACTGGACGGATCCGGAAAATTCAAACGGCGTTCGATAGCCCTGTCAAATTTGTCGAGAGAAGCCAAATTTCATTGACCTCGGGGTCACCGATGACGTCACAGGTCATGTTAAAGATAAAATGTTTCACCGTTCACGGGTCATCTAGGGAAAGCGCTATAACACCGAGTAAAACGCATTTTGTTGGAAATCAGCGATAGGGCGTCAGTTGTCTAGTACATATGTTGCTATTAGAGGTCACTGGTTATACCAGGTCAGGTCACAGGTCAGGTCACCAAGGGTCTCCAAGGGTCACCACATGAACCCAACTTTATTAATGTTGTGCGATGCATGTTTTATGGCCAACTTTTCATTTCCAACTCAATGGTGTTGGTTATAAGACCATCAGATACGGTTTAGGTCACTTTCTGATGGACGTCAGGTTAAGGTCAGGTCAAAAAAGTCAAATTTCTAAGTTGCTAGTTTTGCATAAAATGGGTGTTGATTCGATGCAGCTCGTCAAGGGGAGTCTAATGGTGTTCTTTGTTTTGCGCTACAAGGTCTAGAATTACTATTAATTGAGTTTGAATATTTGACATCATCAATTTTGAACAGTTTTTTCGCTATAACTTGGCCAAAATAAGAGGTATCGATCTCAAATTTGGTATGTAGATAGAACGCGGTAGGGACTATCACATATCTTCCGGTTTTTTCGAAATTAAAAAAAATGGATTTTTTCGGCTATTAATTTCAAAAAAAAATCTATTTTTTTATTTTCTGGGGGTCAAAATCCAAAAATTTCTAAAATCCCACATAACAATAGTGTAGCCCTCTTAATTCTACACCTCTTATGTCTGTAACATTTTTCTGTATCTCTAAAGCTGTAGGCCTGACAGCTCTTCCCGCGAAACCTTTTTTTAGGTCGAAAATGGCAAAAATGACGTCACTCTGACGTCATTAGCGGCCAACCTATCATAGCCTTTGGGAAAATTTTTGGTCACAATGTGCAATAGCTATTCACGGGGGGTACTGAAAGTTTGGTGACGATCGGCGCAGCGGTTCTCGAGATATATCGAAAAACTAAAGGGGGGCAAAAAATGCCCCCCCCCCCCACCGCCTGGAAGGTTAGGGTCCTAGGTCAACTGGTGACCTCTGAGGTCAGGTCAATTACCCCAAGGTACGGTTCAGTTTTTTTGTAAATAACTTCGCGAAAAACGGCCGCAGAGCTGCGACTTTGGTAGCATCGTGTTCGCCTCGCTCAGACGCGTCAAATGATATACTTTTTGTTCGGGTCAGGTCAACTTAGGGTGTTAACCTCAGGTCAAGGTCAGGTCAGCACCCCCAGGTCATGAAGTTGGTCGAAAGAGGTCATATTGCATATCATTCGATTCGGCAGGTCTTCCTGAGTCCATTGGTGGCTTTCCTGACTCGCTAGCTCAATTTGATGAAGAGTTATTGACGAAAAATTAATATGACCTTGATGACGTCATAAATGACGTCACACAAGGTCAACATTGCAAAAGTGAGGCATCTAACCTTCCAAGGGTGCCTCAAATCACGATTCTGTGTGCTTGAGATAGTTTGAGATCGTTCCCGGCGCCAGCATAGCAGTTTTCATTTTTCCCAATTGACTTGTAGGTAATGGTGAGGCCACGAAAATGACCTGACCTCATATGACCTTCAGGAAAAATCCGAGATATACAAGTTGTGAGACTCATAATGGATACTAGATCCTGCAAGTTTCATTTCCCTGTTGACATCTCCTCTGGCAGTGAGGGCGTTGCGAAGTTGCGACATCTGAAGACCGTGCAGAGGTTCACTTATGACGTCATAGGTCAGTGACCTGACCTGACCTAAAAATGCGGTTGGTGTCAAAAGATCCGGCTTGAATCAAAGGTCAGGTATGCCAAGTTTCAGCTCTCTATCTCCAGCGTGTTTGGAGCTATCGCGAAAAAAAAACTATGTATGGGGGGCGGCACCCGAACCCCCCCCCCCCCCCCTCGGCCGGCGAGGGTTAAAATCGGGTACCAATCTCTGCGTCTCGTAACGGCGCACACGTTCGTTTTTTTCTGCGACGCGCTAGCTCCACCAGGAGCGAAATGGCGAGGTTGGGGTCATACCCGCCCCCCTCCCCCCTCGGCCGGCGCGTATGTAGAAAACCAATAGGTCCGGCGAGGGTTAAATTTCGCCCAAACTGGTAACAAACGATACTATTTGATACGCATTGATTTGCTAAGCTCACTGGTTCACCGGTGCTTTTTTCTGCTCTACCTTTATTAGATAAAAAGTTATAAGCGAAAATGTTTGACGTGTACTTGAACTCTAGCCCCGTTGGAGGGGGGCCAGTTTGCCCCGACCCCCTGTGGTTTTTCCTAAATAGCAAGAAAACGGCGGCGTGCAGCGCCGCCAAATTTTCAGTACTTTCCCGGGCATCAATTTGACACCACAAACAAAAATTCAAGTCTTGAACAAAAATTCAAGTCTTAGGTCGCCTTATGTCAGGAGCTATTGAGGTCAAACTGCAGAGGTCATGTTCGAGCAAACATGAGCAAAACATGAAATCTTGAAACGCTCACAAAAGCTTCAGTTACTAAGCAATTTCAACGTTCTTTATGTGGTCATGTAGAGAAAATACAGCGCTACAAAGTTGCTATCTAGCCTTTTAAAAATGTTGGGATTTTGACCCCCAAAAATAAAAAAGTTGATTTTTAAGGAAAACGCAAAAAAATCCGAAAGTTTTTCGAGTTTCGGAAAAAAATGGAATATACCTATGTGATAGTCCCTGCGCTCTTCTATCTACATACCAAATTTCTAAATCGATACCTCATTTTTTGGCCAAGTAATAGCGAAAGAAACTGTTCAAAATTGATTATGTCAAATTTTTAACTCCATCTTTAGCAAATCTATAGACCACGTAGCGCAAAACAAAGACCACCATTGAACTCCCCGTGACCAGGTGCATCGAATTGATACCCATTTTATGCAAAGATATCAACTTTGAAATTTGACGTTATTTGACCTGACCTTGACCTGACCTTGACTTGACCTTCACAAAAACATAATCTCAACTGACCCCAAGGGCTGCCTGTCCCACATCATCGCATTTGGCATCTAAAATGGACCATAAAACATGCATCGCATATTTTTATATGGTGACCCTCAGTGACCTGACCTCTGTGACCTGACCTGGTATCAGTGACCTCAAATGGCAAAATACGTGTTTGACGAACATTTCCACATCGATGATTTTCAATGAAATGCATTTTACTCGATTTTACAACGCATTTCTTGAGATGCCTGTCAAACGTTGAAAATTCGACATTTGACCTGACCTGTGACGTCATCGGTTAGACTGAGGTCAATGAAATTGGGACACAAGGTAGATCCCCGTTGGGGCTATCCAACGCCGTTTGCCGCTTGTCGCTATGTTGCGTGGTTCTCGAGATCTTAGGGGGGGGGGGGCAAAATGCCCCCCCCCATCAGACCACGTTGCTCGGCAGACCCCATCAGGGCGCGGGTTAATGCCCTTTATGATATGTGCCCGCCATGAATGATAAATGCCCACGGCGGTTATCGTCATTGCAATTTTTTAAAGTTTGCTTTATCTGCAGGGATTAACCCTATTAGTGGCAGGGGGGTTGTTTTTATCCACCCCTCAGGTTTTTCGGGAATATCTCTGAAACCGCTGAAGCTACGATGCTGAAATTTTCTGACTTTTCCTAAAACTAAATTGGGCACATTCCCTGAAAATTTCAAGTTCATAGGTTTACCAGGGGCGGCTCCAGAGCACTGGGAATTGGGGGGTCCTATTCGTGAAGCGAGTCATTTGGGCGAAGATCACGATGCTGCACCAGTTTTACGAACAGTGAATGAAAGGTATCATGTGATAACATATACAGTTATTGTGCATCCTCTTTTGACACGTTTTTGCTATAATAGGCGGATCCAGGCGTTCAAAAAGGGGGGTTATGTTTTACCTCCCAAAATAGGTGCCCTGACACCGCCTATGCATGAATAATACAATTGTAGTCGTTCTCTCATAAAAAAAAAAAATTGTAACATAACAAGACCATTACCACCCTTTTTAGAAACAGTACCAACAAAAATCTTATTTACTATACTTTTTGTGTACCCCCAATCTCAATGATCTGTATCCGCCTATGATTTTTGAAAATGCATATTTTTAGGATCCATGTGAATTCCTGGTTCATTCTCTATCGATCGGCAAAAGTTGCGTTAAGATTGGATCAAAAACCTGGCCGTGATAAACAGTCTAAAATGTATCTGCAATTTGCCCGTTTTTACCCCCCCTATTGACATTTTTTCAATTCTTTTTATGTTTTAGAAATGTAGATCACGTTGTGCGAAATCGAATGCCGTTTGAATTTTGAAAATCGGCCCGTTAGATCTCGAGATATCAAGGGGGGGTCGTAAACAGCCCCCCCCCCCCTGCCACTAATATGAATAGGGGGTAGCCAGGAGCCTGCCACTAATAGGGTTAAAGTTGTAACAATAAATTATCAAAGCAATGCTCTGCTTGCATGACCCGCTCGTACAATCTTATGTCATTCCTCGCAAAAGAAATGGAAGCAGCACCGCGACCCAAGAGTAGTTATGTATGTAGTCCTACGAAATCAGTCAAACCCCACTAACCAAGGATGGCTTTTCTTCTTTCAACATGTTCCATGGCTGCGCTGAGTTGTGCCTCCGAGTCCGGACACGCGGTGCTCGTGCTGCAGATCGCGACAGTCCGCCGCCCTTCTCTTCAGTTCAAAAGCACGGCGCACGAGCCCACCTCACCCCGCGTGGCACCAGCAGTTCCGCTGCGGATGGCCGGCCGACTGCCGCTGCACGCGCCGCCCGCCGCCTCTTGTTGCCCCCATGGCTGATGCCAAGTGGCGTCATCCCCGGGTCGGATAGCCGCGGGGGATACCCGGGCAACGAGGTCGCCATCATTCGCAATTCAGCGCGAGACGAAACACGGCTGACGTGGCAGAGCACTTTAAACCAGCGCTGTGGTGGCGCGATGGTCCGATCCTTAGGTACAAAGACAACGACAGTCAAACTTCCCCGATCTATGCTTTGTCATTTTGTCAAACCCACTCAAGACATGTGCTAAAATGAAGATACATCGGTGTTTGCATTCTTCAGAAAGGTTTTCGCAAATAGCTTAACCCTTGCCCTGCTGGGGGGAGGGGTGTTGTGTTTGAACACACCCACCCCTGTGGTTTTTCGCAAATATATAAAAAAGGCGGCGCGGAGCGCTGCCGGATTCCTTAGATTCCCTTATGTCGTTTCCCGTCTGTTTCAACCTATACATGTATCCAGCCGTACTCAGGAACACATCGTATGAGATCACTACACAGAGGTATGATGCCTACTTTTTTGCCTTTGACCTTGACCTCTGACCTTGCAAATTGATCTGAGGTCAAAACTCGTAGGTGTATTAGAATCTTCTCGTATAGTGCTTTCATTTGGTGCTTTGTTGTTTCCGTAGCTCCTATATTTACAGAGTTAGAATGGGGGGAGGGTAAATATTTCCCCCAGGCTGAGATAGTTGGGATTACCTCCGGGCCCGGCCGGGTTAGCCCGCGAGTTGCCTGGGGGGGGGGGCGTTAAACGCCCCCACTTTTTTCGCCGGGCCATATTATAAAAACGGCGCGCCGCAGGCGCGCCAAAATTTGGGTACCTGTAGGGCATTGATTGAATTGTTTATTGTGATAAAGTTTAAAAAAATCGGTCGGAAAACTTTTTGAGATATCGAGGTTTTAGTGACGTCATGATTTCTGAGTTTTCGACCAAAAACGGCATATGTTCAAAAAATCATATACAATCACAGAATGGACATACAGACATGCCGCAAGCGCCATTAGACTGCCAATAGGTACCATGAGCAATCAAATGGCTATCTTCGATTATTTATTATCGTTCCGCATTTTCCAAAATCTTGAACTGAATCCTGGCAATTTCTCGTGACTTCTTCACGACCATGAAACATGCGTTTCTTAAATTGAACTTCTTGAACAAAACACGTACACATATGATAAAATGAATGTCACCATCGTGTTCTACGCCCAAAATTACCCACAAAACATGTGTCACAGGTTGCGAATATCAGTTTTGATTTTCGGAGATATGTGCCTACCCGGTTGACCTGACCTTGACCCTGACCTATGCTTGACTGACCCCTACATGGAGCTGACACTCTTGTAGGCCTTATATGAAAGATTGCGCACCGTTTTGACAGAGTTTATGACGAGAGGCGCCCATTGCGAAGTCCTGAAGTCCATGCTACTGAAAGCCCGATTTCAGGCGTTTGACCTGACCTTGACCCGACCTGTGACCTCAAAATTCAACTTTTAACCCTCGCCCGGCGAGGGGGGTTGTTGCAACCCCCCCTAAGGTTTTCCGCAAATAACGTGAAAACGGCGGCAAATAACGTAAAAATTTGGCATACTCTCTGGGGCAACCTTTTCGCACCTATCCTGAAAATTTGAAGTCCCAGTCTTTTCAGGTCAGGTCAACCAGGTCACAAAAACCGGTACAAAGTCAGGGGAAAAAATGAACTAGCTTAGCGGCAACTGAATTCCAGAGTTCACTAAAATTGGTAACAAAGTATATCATTCGATGCGCACGGACGTCCTGAGTTCACTGGTGCTTTTATTTTTGCTCTATCTTTACTATCTTTACTAGGTTAAAAGTTATGAGCGAAAAACTTTTGACATGTTTTAGCAAAAATTTTGCACTCACACCCCCCCCCCTAAAACCCCCCTAAATATTGACTTAGAGTCACCAAACTTTCACAGGGGCGAGATCTCCTCAGGAGCCACCTACCCTGTAAATTTGGCGTTTCTAAGTGCCATAGGAGCCAATCGCGAGGGGGGTCGTACCAACCCCCCTCGCCGTCCGTGTTATGGAAAAGGCCCTCGCCTGGCGAGGTTTAAGTACTCATCTGAAGCGTCTCGTCGCGTTCTTTCGTTTGCCGCCTCCTGCGTTTCGCTGCGCCTATTGGTTCTCGAGTTATCGGCTGGGGGCGTTTAACCCAATTAGTGGCAGGGGGGTTGTTTTTATCCACCCCTCAGGTTTTTCGGGAATATCTCCGAAACCGCTGAAGCTACGATGCTGAAATTTTCTGACTTTTCCTAAAACTAAATTGGGCACATTCCCTGAAAATTTCAAGTTCATAACTTTACCAGGGGCGGCTCCAGAGCACTGGGAATTGGGGGGTACTATTCGTGAAGCGAGTCATTTGGGCAAAGATCACGATGCTGCACCAGTTTTACGAACAGTGAATGAAAGGTATCATGTGATGACATATACAAAGTTATTGTGCATCCTCTTTTGACACGTTTTTGCTATAATAGGCGGATCCAGGCGTCCAAAAAGGGGGGTTATTTTTTACCTCCCAACATAGGTGTCCTGACACCGCCTATGCATGACCAATACAATTTTAGTCGTTCTTTCATAAGAAAATTGTAACATAACAAGACCATTGCCACCCTTTTTAGAAACAGTACCAACAAAAACCTTATTTACTATACTTTTTGTGTACCCCCAATCTCAATAATCTGTATCCGCCTATGATTTTTGAAAATGCATATTTTTAGGATCCATGTGAATTCCTGGTTCATTCTCTATCGATCGGCAAAAGTTGCGTTAAGATTGGCTCAGAAACCTGGCCGTGATAAACAGTCTAAAATGTATCTGCAATTTGCCTGTTTTTACCCCCCTCTACCCCCTATTGACATTTTTTTTTGAAATGTAGATCTCGTTGAGCGAAATCGAATGCCGTTTGAATTTTGAAAATCGGCCCGTTAGATCTCGAGATATCAAGGGGGGTCGTAAACAGCCCCCCCCCCCTGCCACTAATAAGGGTAGCCAGGAACCTGCCACTAATAGGGTTAACGCCCCCACCCCCTCAGCAAACAGGGGGTGGCGAAATCCCCAGCAACTGCCGGGTTAAGATAACTGTCATGTCTTCTAAGCATAAATTCGGGATTCCAAAGAAAACAAATTTTCTAGAAGCTTTCGGCATTGCGCCATACTCAGCTCTATATCGCAGTCATCAGGGGCGATGTAGAGCTGATGATGGCGCAATGCCGAAAGCTTCTCGAAAAGTTATTCCCTTTCAAATCCAAAATGTATAGTTAGAAAGGATGAGACTTAAGTTAATTTTCGTACGTTTTTGCAATGTCTCTCAAAATATCGTTGGAACATATTGACCTGAAAGGTAGACTAAAACATTGAAATTAGGCAAAGGTCACAGAAAAGGTCATAATGCTTAGGCTATTTGTGTACCGTTAAGCTGAAAGTATCTATGGTGCTTTTAGCGCTCTCTATTCAAGTCATCTCTTCTCTTCTCCTTCATCTCTTTGACCCTCGCCCACTGGCGGATCCAGACTTGCGTTTTGGGGGGGGGGGGCCAACTCATGCAGGAGCCAAACCTAGGGTACCCCCAAATCCTGTTTTCTCATCGGATTTAGGCCACTTATTTTTCGTCACAGCCCTGACACTATGAATATTTTTTTTTTAACTAAAAATAAAAATATATAAATGGTAGCCCACCCGACCCATGCCTTTATATTACTTTGTAAACACTTACCATTGCTTTTGTCGACCAGTTAACCCGCTTCGAGTCAGTGCTTGGGTCCCTTTGCGGGCCGGGAGGTGGTAAAACGGGAGGTGGTCTAACTCGGCTCCTGGGCCAGGCACTGATTGAACTGTGCTTCATTATCGCTTGGGGGAGGGGGCAAACGGGCCACTTTAGGCCTCTGGGAAGGGGGCATGGCCCTAAATGCCCCCTCCCTGGATTCGCCAGTGTAAGAGACCATTGGAGCTGCAGTTGAGTACCTCAGACGTCAGGGTACGTCCTCAGATGTATAGGACTCGCATGGAGACCTCTTATGCTATAGTGAACTGAAAGGACCCAAAGGAGCCTGTCTAGGGCTCCCGGAGATAGACGTGGGCCCTCAGAAGCCCGCCAAAGCCCCCAATGAGGGATAAGTGAGGGATACCAAGTGCCTGCAATTGCATATTGCATAAGCCATAACGCCATTACAAATCAATATAATATGTACCAGTGGCAGATCCAAGGGGGGCCACATGGGTCATGACCCCCCTTGGTGCCCGGGGGCACCACAGGCCTGTCAGGGGCACCACCGGCCTAGCAGGGGCACCACCAGCCCGCCAGGGGCACCACAGGCCTAACAAGGGCACCACGGGCCTGTGAGGGGCCCCACAGGCTTGTCAGGGGCACTCCAGGTCTGTCAGGGACACCAGAGACCTGCCAGGGGCGCCGCCGGCCTCGCAGGGGCACCACAGTCCTGTCAGGGCCCAGGGGCACCAGCGGCCTAGCAGGGGCACCACAGGCCTGCCAGGGGCACCACCGGTCTAGCAGGGGCACCACCGGCCTCGCAGGGGCACCATGGGCCTGTCAGGGGCCCCACCGACCTCGCAGGGGTACCACCGGCCTCGCAGGCATCACGGCATCACGCAGGGGCACCTTGGGCCTGTCGGGGGCATCACGGGCCTGTTGGGGGCACTTTAGGCTTGTCAGGGGCACCACAGTCCTGCCAGGTCCCAGGGGCATCAGCAGCCTAGCAGGGGCACCCTAGGCCCGCCAGAGGCACCACAGGCCTGCCAGGGTCCAGGGGCACCACAGACCTACCAAGGGCACCACGGGTCTGTCAGGGGCACCTCAGGCTCCCGTGCCCCCCCCCCCCCCCCCGGATCCGCCAGTGATGCCACACCACGCGAAACACCGCCAACTCCCAGCTACCACGCCTTAAACACGTGCCAACAAGTCTTTTTTGAAGGACGCCGGTGAAAACAGGGCGCCGCAGGGCATATTAGTCACGTGATATTTGGA